TTTTTATTATTTTACAATAAGGTACTCCTAGATTTCGCTATAATCGAAAGTATTAAAAATGATCATTCCTCAACCATTAAAAAATATTGAACTTTAGTATTTATATAAAAAAAAATGAAGATTTTCATCAAGTAAACTTAGACTATTGATAAGTTATTACAACAAGAAGGAAATTGATACTGAAGATCAAAAATAAATGCAATACTGTAAAATCTCAACATTCAACAATTTTATATATAAAACATTTTCCATTTCACTATTTCTAATAACTTTTACTATAATATAATATTATGGGTAAACATGATATTTAAAGTTTAAATTTTAAACAAAAAAAATATCTATATTCGTTTAGAGTTATGAAAAAAAAAAAAAAAAAATGATTTTTGACAATTGAGGATATGCCTATAATAACAATTTTACGAGATGTAATAATTAGTATTGAAATAAGACCAAAAATTATTGAAATTTAATATTGAACCAATCAGGTAGTTTGATGTTGAAAATACGGGTATAAATATATATAATTACTCTCATTTATCTTAAATCTACTGTATATTATTATGTTTTAAAGGTTATTATTTTTAACTGTTACTATTAAAAATAAATAGGATGGTATGTAAAATGGTTATTTTCTTATATATAGAAAACGATTAAATTACAAAGAGCTCAAATTCGTGTTTTATGTTATTTGATAATAAGAAATGGTTATTTTTTAATTTCCGGACCAATCTTCACTATAAATAATTTGAATTTTCTAACAACCATTTATTATAATGAAATCAAGAAATCTAGAGATGTTCAAAACATAATACCTATATTTTTCAGTATTCTCCAAAGATTTTATTTCATTTAATGTTACTTAGAAGGTAGGTAATTTTAATCTTTGCTACGACTATGAATGTTGGCGGTATAACAAGACGAAGACACAAGTTTCTGATAATATTATAATAGATTTTATTAATTTTATAAAATATCTGTGGTATTTAAAAAACCATTTTTTTAGTCAATACATTAAAAAAAAAAAAAAAAAAATCCAATACCTAAATTATTGTGATTAATGAAATATTTTTCATTTCTGGGTGAAATATTTTTATTTTTATTAAAATAATTCCACCATATTTATGCACTAGTTTTTATATATTATTTGATATGTTTAGCAATTTTAAATTAACATAATATATTATATAATTTATTTCATAGACTTGGTACATTATTGTGTACCAACAGTTTTTAAGAAATTTTAAGTCAAAACGGTTAGTTACTGATTGAAAATAATTTTAAGCCTTTTAAAGAAACTATGATTATAACTGCAAGTATAAAATAAATACAAATAGACCAAAAGTTAAAATAGAAATTATGTAGGTATTTGTTTATATCAACGAGAAAAAGTTTGAAATTGCTAGAAGTTTGTTAAAGTTTTTGTATCTGTTCAATTTTAAGTTAATCACAAAAACAAAAAACTTATTTTACTTCGGCCTTGTTTAATTTGTTGATTTTTCAATATGCTACATTTGAAGTTTAAATTATTAGAGTTTGTGTCAACTTTTCATATACAATAATAAATACTATCTTTTATTGGTTTCAAATTTTTGATGAATTAATTATATAAAACTCTGAACAAATTAAACATAATATATTTATGTCTAAAACAAAAAATCCACTGAAAAATCATCTTTGATCAGAATTATTTTTCGTATGCAATAATATTTTATCATTGAACTCAAATTGTAAACATAAATTATAGTGGCAACAATTATAACGATGTACACTTGTAATATTTAATACAGTAGGGCAGATAAATTCTCTCCCCCTTTTCTATTCATTCCTGATGTATTCAAAATATGGTAAATCCATGTTCACTTGATCCAATGCTTATTAGATATTAAATAATTTAAATATGTTTTTTTTTTTTTTTTTTTTATTAAAAAAATTAATTCCTCAATCTTTAGTTTTTAAAAAAAAAAAAACTATATTTTAAAATTTAGAATACAACTATTGACAAGAAGAATTAATTATAAATATAGTTTTATAACTTATAATAAGTTTATAACATTAAACTTTTATCACAGCATATAACAATTATAATCGAGTAAAATTGCATATTCAAAACGTTGTTAAATGCGATTTTATTTTAAGTAAACCTATAAACATATTAAAACTAAACTAATTGTATTTAAATACGTAATTTCAAAGTAAAATACAAAAAAACAATTATCAATTAGAACAATCGCAAATTCAATCAACAATTGCATTAAACTTTATTTTATTCATAAATGGAAGTACAATATAGATAATAAAAATATATTTATTAAAGATAACTAAAATTTCCGTTTTTTGATAATAGTTTATATTATTTAAATTTAATATATTTTTATTTATAAAATTGTACCTATTGTTAAAAATAATTATGATCTTAAATATATGAAATCCAAGTTAAAACTATTTTTAATTCAATATGTTAAATATAGCGTAGCATAAATTTATATTACTTCAGCTTAAACATAAATCAAGTAAATTTATTGAAATTTTACACTTATAAACTGTATCTAAATGAGTTTTACAATAATTATGAGAGTCCATAATATTTTTCTATTATTAATTACTTAATCTATTGTATTATGATTATATTAAGTAAATATTCAATATATTAATTTAAAAAAGATACAGATTTTTATAGTTGATTTAGTGTATACTATGCTTAGTATTAAAAATAATACTCACTGGAAATTAATTAAGTCAAAACTGAAATAGTATTCAGTTATTTTAAATAAAAATAACGATTAAGTTGTAATGTGTTTAATATACATTTTTTACATGTCTTTTCACTCTCAACTATATAGTTTTAATAAGCCTTTAAGACGTATATTAAGAGAATGCAATAATGTTCCTTTTGACTTAAATTTTGATAGCAAAGTTAAATTTTGTTGTTTATGTCTAGGTTTTGGATAAATAAATGTTATACAACATTTAATTTTAATACTCAATAATTATTAATTTCCTAAATATCCATGATTATTGTTTTTAATATTCTAAAATATTTCTTTTCTGTTTTGTTTACTTTAACATTTATGTATATTTTTTGCCCAAATGGGCGTTAATAAATAAAATAAATAAATAAACAAACAAATAAATACAATGTAACGTATAGCTATTAGTTTCATTCTCTCTACAATAAAGATTTTACAAAAAAATATGAATTATAATCAAAATTTAAAAATAATCATTTCACAAGAATATATTTTATCTGTATTATCATTTTATTTATTCATGAAAACCGATTAAAAAAAAAAAAGAATTTTAATAGAACGGTTTCGTTTACTTAAAATAACGATTATACATACATTTTTACTTAGTGAAATATTAATGAAAAAGAGAAATGTGAATTTTAATTTATAGTATTAATTTCTTAGCTCATTATTTTATTCAATCAATTACAGATATTTAGAGACTTAGAACATTAACCTACTCAAATCGGGTGATTTTTCTATTATGTAAATTATATTATATTTTATGTTAAATGTTTTTATATATTTAAATAAAAGTATTGATTAATTTTTTGACTAAGTAAAATTAATATTGTGAAATTTCATAAACAATCGTATCATACAAACGTTTTTTTTTAGTATTGTGCAAGCAATATTTTTCTATCTGTGAATATATTGCATATATATTTATATATACATATATATTAGTGGATTTTCTGAAATATGTATAGCGTCACCGTCAATTTAACTTATATTTTATAATAATAACATCACACAACTATAGTATAATAATTATTATTACCATAGATACCATATAATATGCATGACTTGAGGAGATCTCATAGCTTTTACTGAAATCAAACATAATATCTTAGTGAACGTAATTAGCTAACATATATTCTGTTCATAGCTTCATTTATTAGCAAATATAAATTGTTATGCATATCATACGCGTGTGGTTATCACATTCTCGAGGGAAGTTATAGTAATAATTATAAATTAGCTAGTAGATAATACGAGTACATATACTTAATTTCTTCATACTTTAAAAATAGATAATATTATGGCTTTTCATATACTTCATATAATATTTATTTAATTTTTTTGTCATAAGTTTGACATATTTTAATTAATTATCGCTCTTGGTTACAAAATTCGCAATAAAATAGCAAATAAAATAAAATTGAATCAGTTAACGTTATCTAATAACGTAATATTTTTTTTTTAATATTTAATATTATTCATTTAATACTTTGACCAAAATATATTGTATATAACTAATTTTTAATAAAATTTAAAAAAATTTAATTAAAAATAATAAATATTATGATTGAAGCAACTTTTTTTCCCTTCATCATTTTCTTAAGTAAGACTGTAATAAATTATTGATAATTTATTATTGTTTGAAAATTAATATCATATAATACCACAATACATTTATTATTTTTATAAGAGAGCTCAAAAAGTAATCACTATAATTTTTGAATAATTCACGAAATTAAATATGAAACGATCCATTTCTAAATTTTATTTTTACATAATCTTTAATTATGTACCAAGTATTCAATTCATACTATATGCATATAACTATTGAATATACATATTTTAATACATATATGTACATATATTGATATCATATGTGATTTGAATAAACTATTATATTTTTATTTACAATGACCAATATATATAGTTAATTTTATTTGAAATATTTTTAATATTATCTTTTAATAAAATGTTCTTGAATAAATGCTTAAGGATTATTTATTCGTAAAACTAACGAAATTCAACGTCAAATACATGTATATTATATATATTATGGCTTAAATAAAATAACTTGTTACACTTATCATTACATAGTTTATAGAAAAAAAAAAATTATAGTTTAACAATAATGAATTCTTGTTAATATAATAGGAATAAAACACGAAATATATTATTTACATATCATATCAATATAGTATTTTTGAAAATTAATCATATTTTAATATTATTAACACTACATAGATACATACTAACCTTACTTAAGGAACTTGGTGGAGATTCTAGAGACTTTGTAGTAGAATTGTTTTCATGATAAGCATTTCATACATTATTTAAAACGACATAACTTCTTTATTTGTAGCAATCTCTGTAAAAATATAATTACTTACATGAATAAACAAATTTGTGTAAGACATTTTAAAATAATTTTTAATTCGTCAAAAATCAACGCAGAAGTTGGTATTATGCCATGGTAACTATACAAAATATTATCTATTCATCTACATATCATTTAATTTTAGTAGAAGTAAAATCTTCACATGTACATATTCAATGGTTAGTATTATTATGTATCATAATTAGTGAAAATATTTTTTTCTATAATTTTGGGAAAAAAATACTTTTTTTAAAATCAATTATGATATTTTTAAATTTTATGAATTTTCTTAAAGTATTAAATTATATACATATATGTAATATTTATTGTCTTTAGTATTTCTCAGATTTTATTATGAACACTCCATTATAAAATAAAGCTACTCTAAACAAAATATCATATTTAGCTCCAATTTAATATTCTGTAATATACAGTATCTAATAAATAATTAAATCAAAATGCATATAATAAATTAAATAATTAATATGTGTATATTGTATAATGATAAACTACATTATGTATTTACGATCCTTTTAAACTGTATATGTCAAAATTGGAGTAAATCGCACTACAACTATGTTATAATCCCCGAAATCAAATTGGTTTGACAAATTAAATTTAACGTACACAGTTAAATTATTAAAAGTGGAATCATAAATTAATTGATAATTTATAAAACTGAGCCCTCGCCTCACGGGTTAAGTGCTCGGTGAATAATAGAAAATAATCGTAATTTTATTATACAAATAATAATTAATAATATAAATGTTTTAATATTATTTCACTGGAATTTTTCACCTTTCAAATTAAAACTACAGATTATTATGTCGCTTATCATTTCTTTTCATTAACAGGGTATCGCATACCATAATATTATATTTTACTGCATCTTTATAAAATACGTAAAATATACGAATAGTCGATGTTTGGAACCATCTTATTGATTTATTTTTTATACGGGTTTTTTTTTTTTTACTTGAAGTGTGCTTATGTTTAACGTAAATACAATTTTGTACGTGTCTGCGAAATACGTTCTACTATAAAACGAATAGAGTAACTCATTTTTTTTTTTTTAAATTGGCAATACAATAGTCTTTTTTTTTATATTTTACATTAAGAGCTTTAAGAAGGTATAAAGATATCAGTGGCAATTCTGGTAATATTTTCTGGTAAGGTGATATATTTATCACACTACTTGAACATGAACATACAACTAAAAAAAAAAAAAAAAAAAAAAAAAATAATAAGAACCAAACATTGTTCATAATAATGAAATAGTTTATTTTGTTCTCTGTCAGTTAATAAAAACGAATAGAAATTATAGGATTTATCTTCTTACTAGGTTTTATTAATTTTTTTTAATTATGATTCATTCAATATCAAAGATATGGTGTTTCTAATACATAACAAAAGATTTGTGCTCATAACAGTGACATAAAAGATTCATTATTATGAAAACTTAACCGTAACGAAACTGAAATAACAGTCACCCCGTTGTCACACCATTTTAAATTCGCGAGTTTTTCAATCGGTTTATTTGTTTAATAAACAAGAAGTCACGCGGATCCACACGGTTGGTTGGTCTGTATTATTGTCATCGTAACAAAATAATAGTATTCTCATTTTAAATTCGTTTGTTGACGACAGCATGGGATGTCGCTCGAAAGCCACCTTTACGATAATGTACCGGAATTGCCTATTCACCGCGCCAGTAAATGGATATTAGCAGTAAAATATAATATTATAATTTAATATTTTAATAAAACAAAATGTAATACGTAAAAAAAAATACATACTTATACAATATAAAATTATTTTTTTTTTTTTTTAACGGATTTAGGATACATACATATCGAATGTAATTTGCTTTGTGTATTATTTCAATCAATTAGATATTCATTTGTAATGCTACCACAGTTTTTACTTAATACTAATCGGGTTTTATGTTTAAAGTGATATTGAAATGATTGTTTTTTAAATACATTTTTATATGTATTGAAAATATATAAAATACACAAACAAGTTTGCAACTTATTTAATTTATTTACTTTATAAACATGTCTATTTCAATAAATTACTTAAAAATAATCATCTATTCATACAACATATCACGCAGGACCTTAATTTTCAAAGGAGAATATAAAATAATCATCACAATATTATAACAGATGTAACTAACCAAATATTTTATGACTTTATAGTATAGTCTGTGATTATTATTTTACATACAATGTAAACTACTTTACTATAATATCTATACCCATTGAAAATAAAACAACATTATATTATTTTAAAAAACATATAAAAAATGTATTTAATGAAGTAAATAAATATGTTTTATTGATTATTATTTATTCACCGCACATACTTTTATTATCCAAGAGATTTTTAATAAATTAACTTAAACGTAAGTAGTATACCTACCAAATAATATTAAAGCCTGATACTTTACATAGTGATATTTCAACCACTAAATGAATGCTAAAATAATGTATACGCACGCATATATACTATATATATTATATTATTTGACATCTATTTTATTATTTTTATTAATAAAGCAAATTAGTCACATTCATTAATGACTACATTTTTTTGAAGAAATAAAAGTTCAAGTTGTATACATAATTATGTATTGTAAGCTTATAAATCTATGCAAATTTGAAGAGACTATAATGCCAGCACATTTTCCTAATAAAGCCAAAATCGAATGTTTTTGCATAATAATTAACACCTATTTATTTGATTTGTATTTATAGGAAATAACTGAATATTTATCATCATAATTATTATTATACTATCTGTATCGTTGTAAATAACCCATACAAACAAAATTTCGAACTGTACATATTATCTGTGTATATTTCAATACTATAACGTCTAAGTTAAAATCAACTATACGTAGATTTTTATCACTGAAATTATTTTAGATTAAAAAAAAACTGTTTATTTTTACATCTCATTAGAATTTAAAAATATTTCATACAGTGAGAATTTAAACATAATATTAAATTGATTATTACGTACTTAGATGTATTAAAAAAAATAAATAAACACATAGATAACAATAAAAAATGTCCACAAGTTTACGTAGAACCTTATATGTACACCAACATTATTTGTTTTTGTTTTGAAACTTGAAATCATAGTTACTAAAATTTGAACTCTTTTACAAGGAATTTCCGTCATTCTTTTTTTTTTTTTTTTAATGTTTTTGTAACAAACTTTGGTACTTATTTATTACAAATTGTAACACAATATAACAAATGAAATAATTTTTAAGTAAAAAATACATTTATATACCTAGATTTGGGATGACAGGTGAGTGACCCAGACATTTTTCTGAAAAAAACCCATTTCCCGAAAAGTAAAGCGTATATTATCACATTTATTTTTCTTGTTGTTGCTCATTATTATATGGTAAAAAAAAAGAAGAAGAAGAAAAGTAGGCAACTATTCTACTGTACAGTAGTTGTCAAGTATATCTTGTTATTAAGGAGAAATCACTAAAATTGATGTGTTAAGTATACTTGTATATGAATTCAACAATAAATCTTTAAACATGAATAAAAATAATACTTACTAATAATATTTTATAGTTTATACCTTTAACGATTTTGAGCGAAGGTAATCTTTCAGCTTATATTACTAAATTGTCTTTATGATTTATTTAAATTCCTATTAAAATAACTTTTTTTTACTATTTGTTACACTTGAATTAATTTTAACCGAAACTTTTGTACTTTAAAATATTATTCTTTGTATAAAATATAATAATATTTAATATATTTATTAAAATAATTATTCTTTGTTTAAATATCTAGTTTCCTCGAAATTTCGACTTAAAATATATATATATATATATAATACATACATAGTGTTTATATGTTTTTCAATTTTTTAGATCAATACATTTTTACTATTTAAAAAGTGAAAAATCTAAAAATATTGGGCGATTTAAAAATAACAATTTATTTATTTTATTTTTTATAATTAAGCTCTAATGCATTTTGTACAACATCTATAATTTGTTTAGAACGATTAGAAAATTTAAAATAAGAAATAGTTTTCACATCTATCATTTGTATTGTGCTCATATGCATCCCAATATTCTAAACATCTAAATAATATATTTCTTAGTATTAATTTTAATTCTTCGATACCGTTTGTTTTAAAAATGAAAACTTCGTTTTTATATTTTAGTTTATTTAATGCATTCTTATCAAAATGTTTTTTATGTGTGTATATATATATATATATATATGTATTAATGAAATGCTAGGACTAAAAGTGCATTTTTCGATGGAATTTTTGTATTAACTTATGATAATATGTATATATAACATTTGTCAGGTCATATTTAATATAAAAAAAAAATATTGAAGGAAAAAACAAAATGTGCTGGATTATTTAATTTTTTAAAAGTTATTTTAAAACCATAATTTTTTTAATTTTAATGTTTTTAAAAAAAGTATTCTTATATCTAGATTAAATGAGTATATGAATTGTATAACATAATATTCTTTTTATTTACTTGATAAAAATGTTGAAATAATTATTTTGATATTTATTTGACGTATCAAACTTTAAAATTTAATATTTAATAAAACTAATAGGTATATACCTCTTTAAAAGATTTTATAAATGATAAAAACTCAATGTTTAAATATATCGTATAATTTTCTATTCAACATTAAAATAAATTGATTTTAATCAAAAGCAATGACCTACCTATTTTTAATACACTGAAAAAAAAAGTTATATATTGATTAAAATATAAAATCTCTACATAGATATGTTTTGTTTAAATCAAAATTTTACTTTAATTATTCTCAAGCAAAATGTTTGGATCGACTAAAAACATTGAAACCATTTTATATTTTCAATAAATAAAACTTAAGAAACCATGCAAAATAAAAATCATTTAAAATAAAAAAAAAGTCTTATATTTTATGCTACGTTTATTTCATTAAATTATAAAGTAGACCATT